TTACAATTTGATGATCATTTTGAATATAAACATCATAGATTTTGCATTAGACATACAAATTTTAGATCTAATATAAGAATTTTGTTTACTCAGATATGTTATCTTTTGTGCAATATATATATATATATATATATATATATATATATATATATATATATATATATATATATATATATATATATATATATTATATATATATATATAAAACCTTCCTTAATAAAATTTAATGACTTTCTAGAGAAAATATATCTTTGCATCAGGAGAGAAATTTAATTATTAAGAAGAAATTAGTGCTGTGTTTACTCATAACCCATTCACTGCAGCTGGTACATATTTGGCTGGTTAATATATGGTACCTGCAGTAGGCAAATATTGGCAACATAAATCCTAATTGGCAACTTTCGTAATGTCACGATAAAATATATACAGTAGGCCATTTTCAAACCATAGGCGTCAGTGAGTTTGATCATGAGAGAGAGGAGAGTACAACAACTTCGGGCTGCCATCATGTCAGCCACACCATCCCCTGACCCCACTAATTATGGTGATATTATATCATGTGTAAACAAATATTTGTAATAAGCTATTACAGTACTATACTACACTTTCACCAGAAAATTATGAGAGGAAGGAAAAAATCCTGATCTCCATGCATCTGATAGTACAGAGAGAGTTGTTTGACCATCAAAGAATGCACATGTTAAAGGTGAGAGGACAGACAGATCCAGCTGAGTCCTACATTTCCCCATCATGAGAGAAAACACTATTCATTTTCACTACTAAGTACTGTATGTTTAATATAATTTATTTTATTTTTATAATTACTGTATTGCCACACAGGCAGTTAAGTCAAAAAATTAATTAGCAGCAGTGAATGGGTTAAAATCTTACCTGTAGGATAAAATGAGAGAGTTAAAAAACTGTTTCAACTCCCACATACATGTCATCTATTAAACACCAAATCTAGTCTTTCAGCACACACTTGGGATGGTAATGAATACCATGCATATGATTTGAAATTGAAAGACAAACTGACACCGGAATGGATCAATCACATCTACTTCTATCCCCAAAACTATCAAAATACACACATTGCAGCATAGATTCTATGAGGATATATTGCAGTCATATTCAAGGCTTTGCACATGCACGTAAACAAAGTTTAAAAAAAAAAATTACCAGAGGTATCTATCTGGGTATAATAACAATGCAGTATTTGTGTCTATAAATACCATATCAATAAAATAAAAAGAAGTACAGTATACAATAATAAAGACTCCTGTCATTGATATAAATAACAAACAAGAAACAGATTTGTAGGAGGTGTCATGAATAAGAGAATGTAATGAAAAGTGCATGTCAAGATTAGAGTAGAGTAGAGTAGAGTAGTGTACGGTAGAGTACAGTAGAGTACAGTGCAGTACAGTACTTAGTTGCTCTCGAATTGAAATTATAGTAATATTGCCTTATGTTGCAATACGTACTACAGCCAATGAACAAGCCTAACTTACTCAGGATAAAAAAAAATACAGACAGAGTGAATAAGAACTAATACAAGAGAACCATATACATGTAAGTCACTGAATGAATTAACAAATGACAAAGTAAAGGATGATACACATAAAACAGACTGGAGGTGCTTAGGAGAGATTATTTTCGGTGAAACTGTGACAAGCTGAATGGATTCAAGTGGTTCCAATTTAATTTCAATATAACAGGATACAGTATACCAATATATCAACAAAGTGACTTGAGAGGTATGTGGATATTTCCTCAATTCTGAAAACTTCTAAATATTTACACTATCTTAAAGATAATTTTTATTTCTATGACTGAAATCAAATGAAACTCACTGAAATTCAACTCAACAACATTTATGATTATGCAGGTTTGGCAGGATGGTATGTCTCTAATGGCCAAGGAGTTGACTCAGCCAGCAGTTTCTAACATGCACCATGATTTTGGTTTGAGCAAGGACTGAGCATCTGTTCAACCCAACTTAGTATGGTACATATTTTCCATCTGAATTACATCTTTTCCAACCTATTTAGTGCAACTACAGTATAGTACTTCAATGTCTTCAGTGTACCAATTTCAACTTATTTAATGTACCCATTTCAACTTATTTTGTGCACCTATTTCAACTTACTTAATGCATGTATTTCAACTTATTTAGTCTACACTTGCTCCAAAATGTATCTTTACAGAGGGGTCTGATGAGTTTGAAAATGAACACCTCAACTCCCATTGTCCCGGTAGGGTTGTCAAAATCCTTCGTCCATTATGTCATATTACCTCATATAACATCGTAAAGATACTTTCTTGAATGAGTTCCTATTTCAACTCATTTAGTGCACCTAATTTAACTCATTTTCTGTAACTATTTCAACTTATTTAGTATACCTTTACTAGCTTACTTGTTGCACTATTCCAAATCCATTTACTTTGGGATGAAATAGTTAAAATTTCTACAATTATATCTACAGAAATACATATAAAGATGAATGTATCTGGAAGGTGCTGCAAAATAATCCATACCAAAAATGACACGAGTACATTTACACAAATTCAATTTTGGAAGGACACTGACAACAAACAAGGCAACAGGTGATTTAAACATTATGGTGCATTATGGAGTGAGTTATGCATACAGATCAAATGTATGTAAAACTGCTGAAGGATTGGTAGAAGTAAGGGCACTGTTGTTAAATAGTTTTTATATACACTATGTACTAAAATAATAACAGAATATTTAGAAATGAAAGAACTTACATAAAAAAGCAAGAAAACAATACAGACTTTGGGGACTAAAGTATTCCGATATCTGATCCTGTTTGAAGTGATGAAGCAACAATAAATTTGTCTTAATTCAATATCAGTCAAAAAAAGTGAGAGTAACCCCATACCTTATAAATGTTAAAAACAAGAATAGAGGGAAGCTAAAAGTAAAATGGAAGTGAAGACAACATGATAAAATTCAAGAATAAATGTGTCATAAACAAAAGCCTAAGCAAGTGTACAGCAGCAGCAGCAGCAGCAGCAGCAAGAGCAGCAGTGGCACCAATAATGTACATTAGCTTTATGTTCCTGGGAGACAACTTTCTTATTCCAAGAGAGACAATCATCACCGCTTTGAAGTTGGGAGAAGAGACACTCGATACACAAATTATACGGGGTAGACGGGGCGCGACATATTATATGCTTTGACAAAGTTCATTTGACCATTTTCAATAATAAAACAACAATACAAAGAACTTGTACAATGTAAGTTCTTTAAACTAAAGCTCCAATATGAACTAATATCGTTCAAGTCTCTCACCACCATATACTAAGCATGCTAAGTAGATATTGGATATGTAAAGGGACTAATAGTTGATTATTTAGTTTAAGCAAGCATTATGCTACTACAGTGGAAGACATTTGGCCTGCTCAATTACATATCTGCCATATGACCAGAACCCAGACCACCAAATAGACATAATCAAACATCAACCATTCATAAAGGTTTATGACTCTGGATACATTTACAAGTAATAAAATTTTTAGCAATAAGCCTCAGGTTTAGGTAGATTATTATTTGAAGGTGGAAATTTTTCTGCATGGAGAACTGAGGCACTTGTTGTAATATTGAAACAAATTTATTTTCGTATGCTAAGTGACTTATCCAACCGGTCAAAAAGTCTATATTTTGAGTGCCTGAGTAGCTACGGAATTTATGAAAGATACGACAAGTTACAAGTAGTCTGAGAACACATTGGATCTTCACTTCAACCTCTATATATGCTGCAAGTCTTAAAATTAATGACTGGAATATACTTAATGCATCAACAAGTTAAGCCAAGGCCAACAAAATTAACTTGGATATATATTTTCTTTTCTAAATCCAAAATTTATCAAAAGCTGGATTTAAATATTTACCCGCTATCAAAGATCACAAGCAGGATATGCTTTGATTTTCATGTGTTTAACCTGATAAACCTTTGTGACCCTTGGCATGAGTTTGTTTCAGGATTAGATAACTTGCCACAGACCTGATCACCTGCCATACTTGAAAAAAGTTGACCTAAAATTAAGATAAACAACAATCTGTTTCTTCTGGGATATTATAAGCTGAAACATCTCAGAAATAAATCACTAGAAGTTCTTTTAGAACACTACTAAACCTCAAAACAAGGGAATCTATACAATGTTTTTTGGGTGATTATGAACCTACACAAAATATTGTTAATGTTAACAGCTGAATTATGCCATTATTGCCATCAATCTTATATCTAGTATATATTGTAGTTACTAGTGAGGCTGGGACTCGGAGTATGTCTAGTGGACAAATGAGACAAAGTCTGTTTACTGTACCGACAATACTGATACTGTATTTCTATAACAAATGGACGAATGAAAATTTCTGAGCCCATAGGAAGGACTTTTGACCAAGTTCAAAATATGGAATACTGATATGGTCAATGCAATATTAAAACATAACGTTCAAAACTCGATTAAAATTTAAAATTACTTTAAACTGTCTTCTGACACTATCATAACTACACAGTCAGTTAAGTTTTCATTAATAAAACAGTTCAAAATTTTCTGAACAACCTATAATATAAAAATAAATAACTTGTAGCCACCCTGCAACATAATGGTAGAAGGCATCAGAATGAGAGAACTGTGTTACTTATGAGGATGCCTCATACTATAAACATAAATAGAAAGCTTCAAAATATTCTAAAGCAGTTTTAAGATAATCAAATAATCATCGATAAAATTTGAAGAACTTAATCTCATGTTGTGCATATTTTCCTTGTGGTACAATAAAATGTAGTTGCAATTAACAGACAATAACAGTAAATAAATAACAAAGAAGAAACTCTGGTTAAATGAGAAAAAGGCATTCACGTGTGGCTCATATTTCCTGCAGTCAGTGACTAAATAATTTACTTATGCATATCTACCCTTGTCTTGTCTCTGTATCTATTTTTTAGTATAATGTTAAACACCATTACCTCCACCAGTTGTTGCATCAATTGGGGAAGCAACAGCATCCTCAGTGCTGTTCATCTGTAATTCACTTCCGCCTTTGGAAGAGTTTTTTGGTCGACGTGAGCCTGTAAGAGAAACATTAATCAAAACAAATAAAATCGTTAGGAAACTCAAGAAAGACATACGTTAGATACTGTACATACAAAAGGATATGCAGTACAGTACTGTACTAGTTAACTTGGCATGAAAAAATAAAATTGAAAAAAGTTTTATTTACATTCTCTATGAGACCTGATGGTAATATTGGACGGAAAGCCTCTTCAAAACAGACAATAGCTTGTTTATACCATTTTTGGTGTTTCTTGCAAGTCCACATAACTTCATATTTGAGAGTGTCTTGCACATTCAAAAGACACGTATATAATTGTAAAAATATTTAAACAAGACATTACAAAATGGGTGTTATGTGTAAGAATGGGAAAGATGGATCATCCAACACTAACAATTAACAGGACAAACAATATACAGTACAGTTGAAGGGGCATATTGTACCACAACATGTGCTCAGCAAGGGTGACAGTGATGCAATTTCAATGTGCATTTAAAAACTGACCCTCTTTATAGCATAGGAAGTGAGACACTCTCCATGTGACACAGGGAGGAAGCGAGACACTCTCCATGTGACACAGGGAGGAAGTGAGACACTCTCCATGTGACACAGGGAGGAAGTGAGACACTCCATGTGACACATGGAGAAAGTGAGACACTCTCCATGTGACACAGGGAGGAAATGAAGCACTCTCTATGTGACACAGGGAGGAAGTGAGACACTCTCCATGTGACACAGGGAGGAAGTGAGACACTCTCCATGTGACACAGGGAGGAAGTAAGACACTCTCCATGTGACACAGGGAGGAAGTGAGACACTCCATGTGACGCATAAAGGAAATGAGACACTCTCCATGTGACACAGGGAGGAAGTGAGACTCTCTCCATGTGACACATAAAGGAAGTGAGACACACTCCATGTGACACAGGGAGGAAGTGAGACACACTCCATGTGACACAGGGAGGAAGTGAGACACTCTCCATGTGACACATGGAGGAAGTGAGACACTCTCCAGGTGACACAGGGAGGAAGTGAGATACTCCATGTGACACAAAGAAAATGAGACACTCTCCATGTGACACAGGGAGGAAGTGAGACACACTCTATGTGACACAGAGAGGAAGTAAGACACTCTCCATGTGACACATGGAGGAAGTGAGACACTCTCCATGTGACACATGGAGGAAGTGAGACACTCTCCAGGTGACACAGGGAGGAAATGAAACACTCTATGTGACACAGGGAGGAAGTGAGACACTCTCCATGTGACACATGGAGGAAGTGAGACACTCTCCATGTGACACATGGAGGAAGTGAGACACTCTCCAGGTGACACAGGGAGGAAGTGAGACACTCCATGTGACACATAAAGGAAATGAGACACTCTTCATGTGACACAGGGAGGAAGTGAGACACTCTCCATGTGACACATGGAGGAAGTGAGAAACTCTCCAGGTGAGACAGGGAGGAAGTGAGACACTCCATGTGACACATAAAGGAAATGAGACACTCTCCATGTGACACAGGGAGGAAGTGAGACACTCTCCAGGTGAGACAGGGAGGAAGTGAGACACTCCATGTGACACATAAAGGAAGTGAGACACTCTCCATGTGACACATGGAGGAAGTGAGACACTCTCCATGTGACACAGGGAGGAAGTGAGACACACTCCATGTGACACAGGGAGGAAGTGAGACACTCTCCATGTGACACAGGGAGGAAGTGAGACACTCTCCATGTGATACATGGAGGAAGTGAGGCACACTCCCTTTGACACATGAAGGAAGTGAGACACTCTCCATGTGACACATGGAGGACGTGAGACACTCTACATGTGACACAGGGAGGAAGTGAGACACTCTCCATGTGACACATGGGACACATGGAGGAAGTGAGACACTCTCCAGGTGACACAGGGAGGGAAGTGAGACACTCCATGTGACACAGGGAGGAAGTGAGACACTCCATGTGACACAGGGAGGAAGTGAGACACTCTCCATGTGATACATGGAGGAAGTGAGGCACACTCCCTTTGACACATGAAGGAAGTGAGACATTCTCATGACACATGGAGGACGTGAGACACTCTACATGTGACACAGGGAGGAAGTGAGACACACTCCCTTTGACACATGAAGGAAGTGAGACACTCTCCATGTGACACATGGAGGACGTGAGACACTCTACATGTGACACAGGGAGGAATTGAGACACTCTCCATGTGACATATGGAGGAAGTGAGAAACTCTCCATGTGACACATGGAGGAAGTGAGAAACTCTCCATGTGACACATGGAGGAAGTGAGACACACTCCATGTGACACATGAAGGAAGTAAGACACTCCATGTGATACATGGAGGAAGTGAGACACACTCCCTTTGACACATGAAGGAAATGAGACACTCTCCATGTGATACATGGAGGAAGTGAGACACACTCCCTTTGACACATGAAGGAAGTGAGAAACACTCCCTTTGACACATGAAGGAAGTGAGACACTCTCCATGTGATACATGGAGGAAGTGAGACACACTCCCTTTAACACATGAAGGAAGTGAGACACTCTCCATGTAACAATAGGAGGAAGTGAGACACTCTCCATGTGACACATGAAGGAAGTGAGACACTCTCCATGTGACACATGAAGGAAGTGAGACACTCTCCATGAAACAATGGGAGGAAGTGAGACACTCTCCATGTAACAATGGGAGGAAGTGAGACACTCTCCATGTGACACTTGAAGGAAGTGAGACACTCTCCATGTGATACATGGAGGAAGTGAGACACACTCACTTTGACACATGAAGGAAGTGAGACACCCTCCATGTAATGCAGGGAGGAAGTGAGACACTCCATGTGACACAGGGAGGAAGTGAGACACACTCCATGTGACACAGGGAGGAAGTGAGACACTCTCTATGTGACACAGGGAGGAAATGAGACACTCTATGTGACACATAGAAGAAGTGAGACACTGTCCATGTGACACAGGGAGGAAGTGAGACACTCTCCTTGTGACACATAAAGGAAGTGAGACACTCCATGTGACACAGGGAGAGTGAGACACTCCATGACACAGGGGAGGAAGTGAGACACTCCCTCCATGTGACACATAAAGGAAGTGAGACACCCATGTGACACAGGAGGAAGTGATATCTAGACACAGGAGGAAGGACACTTCCATGTGACACACATAAAGGAAGTGACTGTCCATGTGACACAGGAGAAGTGAGACACTCCATGTGACACAGGGAGGAAGTGAGACACTCTCCATGTGACACATAATGGAAGTGAGACACCTATGTGACACAGGGAGTGAAGTGAGACACACCCATGTGACACAGGGAGGAAGTGAGACACTCTCTATGTGACACAGGGAGGAATGAGACACTTCTATGTGACACACAGAAGAAGGAGACACTGTCCATGCAGGAGGAAGTGAGACACCTATGTGACACAGGAGGAAGTGAGTATTGACTTCCCATGTGACACATAGAGGAAGTGAGACACCTCCATGTGACACAGGGAGGAAGTGAGACTCTCTATGTGACAGGAGGAGTGAGACACTCCCATTGACACATGAAGGAAGTGAGATGACTCTCCATGTGACACAGGGAGGAAGTGAGACACTCTATGTGACACAGGGAGGAAGTGAGACACTCTCCATGTGACACAGGGAGGAAGTGAGACACTCTCCATGTGACACAGGAGATGAGACACCTACCAGTGTGACACAGGGAGGAAGTGAGACACTTCATGTGGACACAGGGAGAAGTGAGACTCACTATGTGACATTGGTGAGGAAGGAGACACTCACTATGTGACACAGGGAGGATGCGAGACACTCACTATGTGACACAAGGAGGAAGTGAGACACTCTCCATGTGACACAGGGAGGATGCGAGACACACTCCATGTGACACAGGGAGGAAGTGAAACACTCTATGTGACACAGAGAGGAAGTGAGACACTCTCCATGTGACACAAGGAGGAAGTGAGACACACTCCATGTGACACAGGGAGGAAGTGAGAAACTCCCATTGACACATGAAGGAAGTGAGACACTCTCCATGTGACACAGGGAGGAAGTGAACCACACTCCATGTGACACAGGGAGGAAGTGAGACACTCTCTATGTGACATATGGAGGAAGTGAGACAATATCCATGTGACACAGGGAGGAAGTGAGACACTCTCCATGTGACACAGGGAGGAAGTGAACCACACTCCATGTGACACATGAAGGAAGTGAGAAACTCTCCATGTGATACATGGAGGAAGTGAGACACTCTCCATGTGACACAGGGAGGAAGTGAGACACTCTCCATGTGACACAGGGAGGAAGTGAGACAATATCCATGTGACACAGGGAGGAAGTGAGACACTCTCTATGTGACACAGGGAGGAAGTGAGACAATATCCATGTGACAGGGAGGAAGTGAGACAATATCCATGTGACAGGGAGGAAGTGAGACACTCTCCATGTGACACAGGGAGGAAGTGAACCACACTCCATGTGACACATGAAGGAAGTGAGAAACTCTCAATGTGACACTGGGAGGAAGTGAGACACTCTCCATGTGATACATGGAGGAAGTGAGACACTCTCCATGTGACACAGGGAGGAAGTGAGACACTCTCCATGTGACACAGGGAGGAAGTGAAACACTCTCTATGTGACACAGGGAGGAAGTGAGACAAGATTCATGTGACACATGAAGGAAGTGAGAAACTCTCCATGTGACACAGGGAGGAAGTGAACCACACTCCATGCACACATGAAGGAAGTGAGACACTCTCCATGTGACACAGGGAGGAAGTGAGACACTCTCCATGTGACACAGGGAGGAAGGAAGACAATATCCATGTGACACAGGGAGGAAGTGAGACAATATCCATGTGACACATGAAGGAAGTGAGAAACTTCCATGTGACAGAGAGTGACACTCATGTGACACATGAAGGAAGTGAGACACTCTCCATGTGACACAGGGAGGAAGTGAGACACTCTCCA